TTATTGTAATGTTTGTGTGCCAAGTTTAGAGTTTTTATGAATTCACAATTGTTGTAGTTCTGTATAATTAGTTCCAAATTATAATTGATTGCATTTTCGTTCAAGTACGGATTGAATTGCACATTAGTGATGAACACAGTATGGTTCCGCAGCTTATAAAGTACGTTACATATTTCAGTCAAAAATAAATAAGGGTTTCTGTCGTTCGAGCCTAAGACTAACACTATAATATCATCTGGCGTCAGTACCTTTACGAAATCGTCATTGCAGCTTTTAAGTACTTGTTCACTCGTAGCCGCTGGTTTGATGAAAGACCTTACGTTATAGACATCATTCCATTTGTTGGATCTGCTGTCAGTCAAAGTTTTATTAAGACCGTAGGCTTGTTGGTCTCCAAAAATGTATATGTTACGTTGACTATCAATATTCCGTGGTACATTTTTCTCTTTATTGCTAAGAAGTGATTTGTTGTTAAATGTTGTTTGTTTTTGCAACGTATCAGTAGCGACATCTATCGGTTGACTGGTACTAGGTTCTTCATAGTCGTTAATTTTGTAGTTGGTGTGTATAGTGTCATCCAATAACGTACAGTTTCCCCTAGTTTTTCTTCTTCGGACAGGGGTTTTGTAGGACGGCGAGCCTTGGTAAATTTCTTTAAACTGTGAGAGTTTTCTGTCCTGGTCAACAGTTATTTGTTTTAATTGGTTATTTTCTATTGTTAGTATTTCAATTTCTTGATGCGCGCTCTCCAATTCATTTTTGAGTCCATGTATTTGTTCTTTTAGTGCTTCTACATCCTCAATGTGGGTTATAATACATTTATCAAACAATCTTAATCTTTCCAATATCGCAAAATTGAGTCAGCCAAAATTTCCATTTAAGTAAATCGAACCAATTTTCTTCATAATACTCTACTTTAGAAGCAGGTCAGACCAGTACCTTGACCTTGAACTAACCAATCAATTATTAATAAGGAAAACATAGATATTCCACGAACAAGTAAAATGAATCCCTGTCCTTTACCTCAAGTAATTGGATTGTAACCAGCATCTCATCTCTTGTGAACAAAGAAACCGAAATAAATTAGGTATCGGTTACAATATTTTTTCAAACAATTTACTTAGTGGTGTTATACTCGAAACTGTAAGTTGAGGTGCTGGCCAATTTCTTTAGAATGATTATTGAATTCGAAATTGACAATCTTTATTTCAAACTAGCAAACCCAGCGATCCGTTTAGCCACCAGATGGCTTCGTTTTATGTAATATTTCGTTTGGTGATTAAAAGATTTCTTCCTGAATTTTCTTTGCTATAAACCTTACGGAGCCCGAGACCTTACCAACGAATGCAAAACCGTGGAAATCGGTTCGTGCGTTCTGGAGTTACAGCGTCAGGAAGAAAAACCAACGTTTATATAGTACATTAGTCTATTGCGAAAACTGGTAATGACACATGACGTCACCTATGTAGAGCAACTTTGGTTTTGTTTGGTCTACTTCCAGAAGTGACAATCATCTGTCATGTCTGTCAGTCGCACCAATTATATGAACCAAATTCATCTTCCCTATCCAGCTCCCAAGGGGTAATGTGTCACACTTTAGTAAGACCTATAACACTTAATACACTTTTTGCTATTATTATCACTAGCGACTGTTAAAGCTCCTCATTTTGTCACAGCTGCTTGGGTGTAAACGGAATGCTCCCGAAACGCTGACAAAAATAAATTTTATTCGGTTGTTTTTTTTTTATGGCATAAGCCGGTGAACGAGCAGACGGATCACCTAATGGTAAGCAATCGGCGTCGCCCATGGGCACCTGGAACACCAGAGGCGTTACAAGTGCATTACCACTTACCAGCCTTTTGGGAATTGGACATTTGAGGATTGTGGAGGATTCGGAGATTGGGGAGACTGGAGAAGAGGTAATTGGGCCTCAGGTAACCTCACTCAAATGACGAAATACAACGCAAGCGTTGTTTCACGTCGGTTTTTCGTACGGAAGCATGGCTCTCCCACACTTTCGTTTTCATGTTATACATGCAACATCAACCTTGAGCAGTTGCTTACAACTATTATTGCATAAAAGAAGCATTGAATTCCTTACTTTTATTAAAATAAAGTTTTTTTTTTTATTGTCACTTGTCGGTGTTTTTCGAGAGCGTGCCATTTACATTCCGTATTATGTACATCCCTATAAAAATATACCATTCATAGTGTTAAACATCGAGGTACCAATCCACAAACAAGCCTAAGAAAATATAATTCTATCCATATCAACACACTTCTATAAATAGTACAAGAGACCCGGCCCGGCTTCGCACGGGTGCAATATGCATGTATTATACATATAAACCTTCCTTAAGAATCACTCTATCTATTGAAACAAACCGCATCAAAATCCGTTGCATAGTTTTACAGGTCTAAGCATACATAGGGACAGACAGACGGGGGATAGCGACTTTGTTTTGTACTATGTAGTAATATATAGTATAAAACATGATACATTTCGACATAAATGTGTTTATATGCATACAGAAGAGGCTGCACAAAAACATAATACACAAAACTTTTATAGCCATCTTATCATGTTTCACAACAGCCAATAACATTCATTTTGAACTACATCTCACTATGTACTCGTATCTCGTACATATTTTACGCCCGTCAACGGATCGTGACGCCATTTTCATATCTCTTTTATTATGAGACAAGACCAAACTATTTTCTTGACAATATACTTAAATAACCTTTTGTTATAACTTGATATAAAACTGTTGTTACTTGCAAAATGTCAGTTATATAGTCCTTCATGTAAGAATCTTATTATTCTTTTGTCTGTCCACGAGTAGGCTCAAAACTTGTTCACAATAGTCATAGAGATGATAAACGTAAGCATACAAATAAAAAAATAAAAAACATTGTTCGATTTAAAAATAATGCATACTTAGCCCTAGTTAAACTAGTGAATGATGAAAAGTTATAATAAATATCTGACTTCATCTGTTTGGGAAACAAACAGACTTGATGCTATTTTGTTTCATTCAACTAGAAACATGGCCCGCATTAAACCGCGCTAACTACATTGGAAACACAACGACAATTGGTTAACTTCCTGGCTTAAAAATAAATGATTTAGATTTTTCAATACAATTAAATATTAAAAATTAGTTACCTACACTTTCATTCATTGATTTGCCGATATACTTAATTTTCGATTTATTCTAACATTTTTTTAGATATAAATGTGCTATTTGTCGCGAAAATATGATGACGTCATAAGATGGTATTTCGTACAAAACGCTACGCTTTACCTATAAAGTCTTTAGAATTCAAGGTCGAGGAATACAAATACGTACCAATCGATGCACAGAGGGCCTGCACAGCGACGTCTATACACTGTGCAGGTGGGAGCCAAGCTGCACAGAACACAGGTGTGTTGGCACTCGGATGCATGCACTAGGTGATAGCGGAGAGCACTACACATAGACACTACATGCATAAATGGCAACAGAAACATAAATATGCAACAGAAAATGTGGTAGAATTGGAACAAATCAATTTGTATATAATAGAAATACGACTTTTATAACATACTAAGTGTGAGCCATGTATCGGCACGAATGGGCCGGCTCGACCGGAGTGATACCACGGCCTCACAGAAAACCGACGTGAAACAACGCTTGCGTTTCGTCGTGTGAGTAAGGTTACCGGGGCCCAATTACTCCTCCCCAATCCCTGAATCCCCAACAATCCTCAAATTCCTAATCCCAAAAGGCCGGTAACGTACTTGTAACGCCTCTGGTGTTCCAGGTGTCCATGGGTGATGCCGATTGCTTACCATCAGGTGATCCGTCTGCTCGATTACCGGCTTATCGCATAAAAAAAAACTAAATAAAAAATCTTAAGAATAATGTGAAAAAGGGTGGAGAGATATTGGTTATACATTTCTATATATTTGCACATCATTTATAGAAACTTTGAATAAGGGCAAATGAGAAGAACATTAACAAGATTTAACATAATACTGATACTAACAGTCTGGTAGAATCTATGAATCGTATTTAACACATGATTTGTAGCAATTCTTTCACAAAATAATAATAACGAAGCTTTTACACCATAAGTACAGAAAAAGAATTCACTAAATGATTTAGACAAGCTAAAATAGATTTACACAAAGCACAAACGTTTACATAACAAAACCATATAGAAACTATTCACATTGAACCATTAAACAGTGCAGAGATAAATGAATTTTAAATAAAAACAAAAAAAAACATAAATCAACATAATTTTTCTCTTACATAACACTTTAAAATATTCCAAACGAACTTTGTTTTCTTTACATAAACATGAGCCCAAGAGAGAAAAGTAAAAAGTAAAACTTCAAGGTGTTTGAAGCGTCGATAAAATATAAATACTTTGGTACTTAAAACGAGCGTTTCATACATTGTAAGTCCAAATAAAGTTGGGAAAGTACTCCAGCATGTAATACCAATAAAACCAGATACAATAAACTTTTATTTTATACACACGTAACTTTGTAACGTAAATATATCTACTTGAAGGTTTCTTTTGCATTGGCGGCATGAATTTAGTCTTCGTACTACCTATATGGTAGTTACATAATGTGTATCTTAGTCGTGTTATTTAACTTTTTATAATCTGATTAACCAAAGTAAATTGTAGCAAAAAGAATCTAATTGATTAGGTATCTTTCATCTGCACATAATCTTTCATCACTTATTTTGGTTCTTGGTATTATATTATCTGGTATTATAGTACTTATAATCGTTTGTAATAATCTACATAAATAAAAGAGGATTCCCATTCTTGTATTGTGAGTAAAATATTTTCTAATCGGTATGAAGTTTGCCGGGTCAGCTATATTTTATAAATACCTCATCGTGTGGTTTTCATAAAAGAAAAATTATGTCTATACTTATTGTACAAAAACTAACAAATAAAGACACTTGAAACTAATTTAATTGCAAAGTTGTACCTTTTATCAATTCCTTCACTTTCTGCGTATCCGTTCATGAGCTGATTGGGGGTCCATTTTATTACTAGACCCGCCGCAGTTTGATGGAGACTCAAATACCCAGGCATGGGCTCCTCGACATCTTTCTAAAATAAAAATAATTCAAAAACTAAACCCAAATTCTTCAACATGAAATAATTCCCAAGAGTCTATAAAAACAATTTTTAAAGTGCTTGAATCCATTTTTCGCTTTGAGAAAATTTTATCAATATTTCAATTTCAATTAATGTCTAAGTAAATTAATTTAAAGTTTTAGACATTTATCAGAGGCAGCTCAGCTGTAAAATAATGCCGAATTATTAAAATGACAAATACCAGGCTCAGAAGTCTAGACATTTTAGCTTTCGAAGTCTCGTTGGGAATAAAACAAACTTAAAAGCATTTTATAGAACAGATTTTTCACTTCAATTACAACGAATTTTGTGAGAAAACTTGTGATGGTATAAAGCCAGTAAGTTGATCAAAAAATGGGTCAACAATACAATAACATATCATTCTCAGAGTGAGATCGTGCTCCAAAAAATCACAGACCAAAACGATTTCTCACAATAACGGAGATTGAATAAACTACCCAAAATTCGAGAACATACGATCGTAATTTCAAGTGCTCGTTCGTATTATTGGTCCGGTCCCGAAGGAACAGAAGGGATCCAATCCGTTTCCCAAATTTAATAAAACTCAACACACATCATAAACAAGAGTAAATAAATCTGTGGAAAAAATGCTTTGCACTCACCGGCTGAACTCTGACATTGTTTTTCCCGTACAAGAGCGTTGCTGTGGAGTTCTGGTGTAAACTTTCAACGTAATCTTTGGCACTCGATCCCGCTGTCTTGCCTGTACCTAAAGTTCAAGTTTCAATAACATTTTTGTTAAAAGAAAAACCTGATATAAAACTGTAGCGAGATGTTTTTGCTAAGCAAACTTGGAACTTGTAGCAACAAACATTAAGTTAATGCAAGTAAGTTTGGTTAAGGAAAGTTGTTGAAGGAATTTTGTATTAAAACTTGGGAAGTTTACCCGTGTTGCTGGAGCTGCCGTCATCAGATGAGGCGTTTAAGCTCCTCTTGAAATTGAGGATCGGTCTGCGAACAGAGGGTGGCGTTGTGGTACCCGCTGACATTCTGTGTCTTTGAACCTGTTATTTAGATAAAATTATTATAAAAACCTGAGCACCAAAAAGGACTATGACGTCCTGATCACTAAATAAAAAATTAGGGTTGGTACTCACAAGCTCGTCTGCAGGCGGATCTGTCCAGAAGCAAGCTGGTGCTTTAGCCTTGGAGTACTCCAGGGCACAAGGTCCAACTAGCAAGGAACTCAGAATACTCCCGAAGTCTGGGTCGGCTACTAGAGCGTCCCTTTCGTAGTATCGGTTAGCGTTGTTGACCAGATGCTCGATGATCTTAGCTAGTTGACGCTCGAATAGTGCTATGCGGATCCACAAGTGCCTATGGACAAATGAAGATCAGTAAGCAACAAAATCTTCACTTCGTTAATTCGTACAGTATCTATGTTTTTCTGATAGAAGAGGAGAAGACTGTGGAGTTTAATTAATAACACATCTTATAGATCTGTCACTCCAAATTCTTTGTAAAATGACACAGATGGCACAATATTTAAGCAAAATTTAAAACTGTAGCCTTTCAGTTTTCGGGTGGTATATACGTTTTTGTTTATTAAAAACTGTGGACAACCTACTCAAAACGAAATATAGTAGGTATCTATACTCTTTGTCCCAAAAAAGTCAAAGGATCCTATCGGATATTTAATAAGAAGCCGCGGGCAAAAGCGAATTATTAATAAGAGTAACAAGAAAAATTCCTCTAGAGGACTGACCTTGTTTTTGCTACAAAACGAAACTCTTTACATTCTTATGAAATAAAACCTACAGAGCTACGCAGTTACTTGTAGCAAGCCTGTAGAGAAGTATGCAAACATTTTATTACTAGCTAGCCTGATCCTGAAAGATGGGTTTATTTCATTCTGTTATTTAATTTTTTTTTAAACAAAACGTTGTCCCAAACTAGGATTTTCTCCTATGTCGTTGGTGCCTTTAAAACTTACAGGTTCACATACACATGACACCCAGTCCCGGCACAACAATCTGTGGATCCGTGTTGTTCTGTGTGGGAATCACGTTGCGCGGCAGGCGGTTGCCCAGCCACCGCGCCAACAGTGCCGTCATTGCATTGGGCATTGGTTACATTACATAGAATTTTTAAGAATTAATTTTGCATAATACAGAATATGTTACGTGGTCTCCTCGTTAGTGGACTAACAACATAAAAAAAGTCGTGGGAGCAATAATAATTCGATGCAAGTGGAAAGTTCGTTCGGTTTCGACTTCCGATTTCGATCTTCCTTATTCAGTCGTGGATCGATGCATGTTACCATTTAAGGGTAATATAATTTAAACTGTGTAACCGCAACCTATTGTTCTTTAATTGTGTCTATAATGACGGTACTTAAGGGTCGAATTTAATACAAATTTTTGTGAAAGTGTCCACGAATGTACCCAAGGTAATTAATAGTTGTTAATGCAAAATTACAAATCACATACACTCGCCTTACCTTAAGTTCACAGTACAGGTAGTACCATACACAAACTGTTAATATGTATGTATACATAGCAGATAAAACAGTAATTTACAAAATAAATGTGGGGCGGTGCGTTGTATCGGAATTTTAGACAAAGAAATGGTTTTTGTAGGTAACAACAGCCGTCAACCGTCGTTACCGTAAATCCTAAGCACAAGTAATATATTATTCTGTAGTAGGTAAACGAACAAGGGCCGCGGACATAAATCTTGTCACATATTCCTAAAGTACTTCGGAAATAATGGTAATATTTTATTTTCCTTGCGACGGAAAAAATCAAAGGAATGTTTGGAAAAAATGAAACCTTTTAGTGCTCGTGGAACCGTACTGAGCCTCGGGAGACGACTATTAATAAAGATGGCTGGAAAACAATGAGTGATCAATACTGTTTTTTGTTTTTGATGTCTTATCTTTAGTTTTAAAGAGTGGTAATTCTTACTAATTTTCTTGTGTTTTACTACCGTTTAGTTACATCTCTCGATTAAAGTAGATTTATCTCTTTGAGTACCGTCATTATAGACACAATTAAAGAACAATTTTTTTTTCTAAGGGAGGAAAATCATCGAATGACTGCTCCCGCCTGGGTGAGGCGGGAGGGAGTGTCAGACTCTTACTGACTAAAAACCACCCCGTTCCTTCTCCTGCACGTCGAGCCGGAGCCCCGATTACCCGTTAGGTTCTCCGCGACTATTAAAGAACAATAGGTTGCGGTCACCGGTGTTCTCGCGGTGTTTGACAGTTTAAAGCGCACTCAAGCCAGGATATGTTAAGCATACAATCCTGGTTTGAGCCAATCAGAAGAACGTAAATTTTAGCATGAACCCCATTTAGGAGGTTACATGCCTAAGTGTCATTTGCTCCGAAGTGATACGATCACAATGATCGCGACTTTTGTAGTTATTTGTGCTTCAGTATTGTATTTCGGCCGTTAATGTTCTGATTAACGTAACATCATAACATCACGCCTTTTATCTTCAAAGGGGTAGGCACAGGTGCACATTGTACCACTGTACAATGTGACACCCACTTTTCACTATATAAGTTATGAGTCCCATGTAATAGGGGGTGAGCCTATTGCCATATACCGGGCACAGTTCCAGACTCCGTGCTACTACTGAGAATTTTTTAAAAACCCAGCAATACTTTGCCCGACCCGGGAATCGAACCCGAGACCCCTTGCCCGGCAGTCGCAATTGCAACCACTTGGCCAACGACGCAGTCAACTGATTCTGATTAACGATCTGACTTTGATTAATTGACAAAACTTTACGAAAAGAATATTTATCATTCTATTCGAAAAACGAGTAAGAAGTTATAGGTACCTGTGTTTTAGGTAGGGCTAAATAATATTTTTGGTCAAAAAGAACACAATTTCACTTTTGCCCGGAGGCTAGACCCTCATGTACCTACGTCAAAAGAGGTTGACTAAAGGCGTGGTCGCTTCACAATATTTGTGTCATGAAAAATATTTTAGTATGTGGCCGAAATATACGATTTACTCAAGTGTGATTTGAAGGAGATTACGACAACTGACTCGCTATCTCCAAAGGATTTAGAAAAGGCGCAGTACCCTCTTTGCTCACTCCTAATAGGCTAACAGTACCCCCGGTCCTTGTTGGTTTAGGACCAATATGGGATGAGCCCATTACTATTTATCGAGGACAATTTACGACCTTGAGTCTTTGACAAAACATACAAGAATTGGGGGCCACAAAAACCCAAATCGTTCTCTGATAGACTTGACCCTTGAGGGCTCCAGAAAAATCTATTATGATACTCAAAGAAAAATATCACTTCTAATCAAACGATAGTACTCAAAAAACCAATAAAAACGATCATTATTATATCCAGTTACGAGCAAACATAAACTTGGTAGAGCTGTCTAGGAAGACCTAACTTTTATGACGATGAAAAAGACGTTTTATCACCTCGATATAAGGTTTGAAGCTTCGTACAACAAAATAATTATGTACATCTATAGATAAAATGACGTCATAAACCAGGAACAATCTCGTAAAAAACACACATTACTAAGATACAGGGTTTTTATAACGGTTCTAATAAAATTTGCCCTTCAGAAGGTTGAACAGGTGCTTAAATTGAGTTAGGAGATTCATTGTTCCTTTTTCGTGTAACTGGGACTATTACGGAGTGGCTAAAGAATGAAACGGTTTTAAATTGTACTACATTTTTACGAAGCTAATGTGTATAATTAATGTCCGGCCTTTCATTGTAGCACAGATTCCTTTTAAAAATAGCACCATGTTATACAGTGACGTCAAAAGTATTACAAAATTTAAATATGTTGTGGTTGCTTTTTCACAAAATACCAATGTAAAAATGTTAAGAGGCAAATCCTTTTTGGTCACAGGAAAAAAAACAATTTTCATATCTCAAGCAGCTGAGCGGTACATCGATATATTTTACCGTTTCGATAACATATTTCCGAAGCTTAGAATGTTATTTCATTCAGCTTACACGTTTACATGAGTTTGCCATTTACATTTTTATTTTATTCCAGTTTTTATGTAACAACCAAAATAACTTGAATTCTGTTTTGTTTATTGCGATAGGTTTTGTTGTAAATAATTTTCTGTGAAATTTTTTCATGAAACTAACCATATTTTACAACTTTTTTAATTAATTCTTATTTTTTTGTGTTTTTCTTGTGGATTTATAGAAGAGCTAACTAAAACACTTGCTAAAACATTTGATTGTTCTCGGGATGAGTAGGTATTCCTAATTTCCAAAAGAGTGTAAATAATAAAACAATGAAAGTACTATCTCATGAAACAGATAGCTTATTCAAAAAAATATTAAATATCACAAGTACCCCTGCAAAATAACCAAAAACTGAAAAATGTAAGCATTTTCTTTTTCTATTATTTGCAATCTAGTCTTGAATACCGTGTCGCGGAGAGAACCTAACGGGTTACCGGGGCTCCGGCTTGACGTGCAGGAGAAGGAACGGGGTGGTTTTTATCCGCAAATGTCTGACACTCCCTCTCGCCTCACCCAGGCGGGAGGAGTCATTCGATGATTTTCCCATTTAAAAAAAAGCTTGAAAACTGTGTGGGTATTCCATATTTAAAACAAAAAAATATAATGTTTGACAAGCGCGCCAAAACCACCTGTCAAATACATACCTGACTGACACGTCATAGAGAATAGAGTGGAAAATACTGGCAACTCTCACCGCCACCGTTCGGATAGGTCAACAAAATTTGGTAGGAAAATAAATTCTGAACACGTATCCGAATGTTTCGCATGTTAAATGGAAGACTGGAAGTTAAACAGCGTTGAAGCGAAACATGAAATACGATAAATTGAATTTAACGCTCCCTTGGCTATGATCAGCGTTCTGTAAATCGTTTTATTGTCAATGGTTATTGATTTTATATGTATTTGTAAAATTATTGACTTACTTAATGTGGAGTTATTTTTTAACAAAACAGATTTTTAGTTGATTCTTAAATACGCTTGCTTCTTGCATCGACCATTTTTGTCTCTGCATCACCCAAAGGTCTGGCTGGAAGAGGATGCCCAAGGTATTAAGCCCACCTTGTACATTAGTGTGTGCATGAAGCCTTTTAAAATAAAATAAAAATTTACACTTTGTTTTCATATAATGTCTTACAAACAGCCTTACCATAGACCATACTAATTTATTTCCAAGCTTCTAGCTTAACCATCCTTATGACATTAGCGTAAAATTTACGTAACCAATCTGAAAATTCACCTCACTTATTTCACAGGTATTACAAGGGGAAATTGTTTGTGAAAGAGTACACAAAGGGTTAATAATCCAGGTATTAATTACTTTATATTTTATACAAAGGACGTTGGACCA